CAGAGTGGAAATCAGGGATACTGGGGGGTTCTCTGAACTTACCAACAAATGAAAGGTACAGTCATGGAATCATGCCTTTCAGGACTCATAGCAGAGGTTGCAATGCAACATCTGGAACAGTGTTTCTCAACCTTGGTAACTTGAAGTCCACAGGACTTTAAGTTGTCAAGGTTGAGAAACACTGTTCCAGATGTTGCATTGCAACCTCTGCTATGAGTCCTGAAAGGCATGATTCCATGACTGTACCTTTCATTTGTTGGTAAGTTCAGAGAACCCCCCAGTATCCCTGATTTCCACTCTGGCCTACAAACATTCTCCTTTATCAGCGTTGACTTCTTGCCAGAATACACCCCCTTTTCTCTGCTTGCTTGCACGTAAAAAAATCAGAGCAAAGGATAAATATTAGTAAATAAAGTTGGCTTTTCCATCAAGCCGGCCTAGCCTGAATAGAATAAAAATAGAGGATTAACTGGTTGTTAATTTTAATTTAATTTTTAAATTTTTATCGTAAATATCAATTGGGGTGTTTTTTTTGGATACTTTATTTAATGTCCCTTTTAATTTTTGTAATATGTGTTTTCTTTTATGTTGTACGCCCGCCCTGAGTCCTTGGGAGAAGGGCGGCATATAAATCCAATAAACCTAAACCTATATATAATAAGGTAGATGGGAATGTGAAAGTAGACCATTTAATAATATTATTAATTTTGGATGTAATCCAATGTTGGGAATTTAAAATGTTAATGATTGGGGAAGGGGAATTTGTGAGACATTTTTGGGGAAGAAGAAACAGGGTAAACAACTGGGAAAAACTGTAAAAAAAAAGAAGAAGAAATACAGGGCGTGCAGTGATGTTAACTATGTGTAAAATTTGATTAAGAAATGATAAAGAATTATTTAAAGCGAATAATATTGTTGAAATGGGAATAGCAAAGATATTGTGATAAATGATTAATTTGTTAAGATGAATTTACAGTCATAAGTAGAAGACCCCCCCCAAAAAAAAAGGTGTTTAGCAATGATATGTAAAACTAACTCAATTGATGGGAAAAGAGAAAGGATTATATAAAAGAGATGACTATTGATAAAAGTGGGAAGATTAGAATACAATTAAACTATGATTATAAATACGATGTATAAGATGGTGAACACTCTGTTCGTAAAGTATGCATGTTGGAAAAAAGAAAAAATATATATAATAAAACTTATAAAAAAAAATCAGAGGAAAATCAGGTGCTTCCTATCAGGAAAAAATGTCATTTGAAACTTTTTGCTGCCTCTTGATTCTAGTTTGGGAGGTAGCGGGAGTAATAAGTTTGCCATTTCCTCTTCAAGGCCTTGGGGTTTTGTCTGCCAACTTCTGATTGAATTTAGGAGCAGAGGAAATAGCCGTTCTCAGGACTTATGAACCAAGGAGACGATTTTGGCTCAAACGTGAGTGACGTCATTTCCATTCCTGCAAGGCTATTTCAGGATCCAAACACATTTTCCTGTTCCTGGTTTTTGTTTTATTTTTCCTTTTCAAAACTGGGTTTTGCTTAGGAAAGATAGCGAGGGAGGCTTGGACAAGCGGGGATGTAAAACTTAACGTCCTTTCGAACGCGCAGTGGACTGTAGCATTCATAACTGTGAATACCTCCACTGGGAGTTTGTTCATAGTTTGAACATTTGAATATACCGTAGTTCTTGCAACTGTATCCCAAGCTGAAATCCCTTAATAGCTTATATGGAACAGGCAATTATTTTCTTCGCAATTATCTTAGATGGCAGGATAAATATTTAACTAGCGTCGGACACTACGAAAGGCATGAGCGCCAATGGTGTATTGCTATTCATTTTCTAGTTGTTTGTGCGTTTTGCCAAGGGAAATGTGAATCTATTATTTGTTCGCTGCTGTATTTCATTTGGCTTTGCGATTGAACTGGTAAAATATTAAGGAAATATCAGCAGTTATCAGGTACAATGAAGTAAGCCCAAATAATAGTTTTAAAATCCAGGCCATCAAAAGAAAAAAAGAGAAGAGAAGAGAAATGATCAGGAGAGGAGAGAAGAGGAGAGAGAGAGAGGGAGGGAGGGAGGGAGAGACTGAGACCGAGAGACAGAGAGACAGAGAGACACACAGAGAGAGATGCTATATATATAGAGAGAGAAATACACAGAGAGAAAGATAGAGATACATAGATAGATGGAGAAACAGAGAGGGAGAAAGAATGAAAGAGAGAGAAAGAAGGAAGGAAGGAAGGAAAGAAAGAAAGAACGAAATTTTCTCAAAATCTAAACTTCAAATTAAAAAAATTACCCAGGGGTTCTGTCTGATAAGAACGCTCTTTCTCTAATAATTACTGTTCTTTTTAAAGTCATACCAATGCTTGCATTGGATTTAATTGCTGCTTTCACCCAACAACCCCAGGAAAACGCATTACCAGATAAGAACTCAGTTATAAATTAATCACTTTAGTATTCTGTTCTTGAAGGTGCCCATCTCAGTGGCTTCAAAGAAAATTAATCCGTCAGATTAAAAAAAAAAAGCTATTGGGCCAAAGGAAAGATTTCATCATAGGACAGGGAAACCTCTAAAAGATAATAATAAAAATGGATTTCCTCCCCCCTCTCTTTGCTATGAAGTATGATAATTAATTGGGCAGGCAAAACAACAACAACAAAACAAACTACAAAATAAAATGAAACTAGAACGCAGCAGGAAACAAAACTTTCATGAACTGACATTTAGTTTTCCACTAAGTTTAGCTGCTCCTAATCATTTTTCTAGGGACACGGTGGCTCAGTGGCTAAGATACTGAGCTCGTCGATCAGAAAGGTCGGCAGTTTGGCAGTTCGAATCCCTAGCGCCACATAATGGAGTGAGCTCCTATTACTTGTCCTAGCTTCTGCCAACCTAGCAGTTTGAAAGCATGTAAAAATGCAGGTAGAAAAAAAATAGTCGTATTTGCCTATATATACCTGGCATGCCCAAATATGGGAGGGAGCACACGGCCTCCCTTTTGCCTTTCAGCTCCACCCTAGGAGCCTTCCAGGCAGAAAAACCATTTTTATATTGCATTTTTGCTGATAAATAAATGAAGGGAGACTAGTATAGATCTATTTCAAGCTATTTAGCTCTCATCAGCTAGCCATACCCTTACTGGGATTTGAACCTGGGCTGTTTTTTACATCTTAGGCAGTTGTATTAGCCTCTAAGCCACAAGCTCTCCTCCCTTATCAGCTGAGCCAAGGACATGATTAAGTGTGTTCCCTCCCATATTTGGGCATGCCAGGTGCTTTGACATAACACATAATCATCTCCTTGGCTCAGTTGATAAGAGAGGAATAATATATATAGCTGATGAGAGCTAAATAGCTTGAAATAGATCTATACTAGTCTCTCTTCATTTATTTATCAGCAAAAATGCTATATGTG